GAAATTGGGACTATAAAAATTATAATTTAAAAAATTAAATCACTCACAAGCCTAACCATAAATGTTCCAGCTGACATTTTGGTTCCTTTCGTGGTTTTCTTTTCTGAGTGTAGTGTATCACTGAGAAAGTGCTGTACACACAGGTTCACTTTCTATTTCTTTCATTTCATTAATGTTCCTAGAAGGTATGATTTTTTTAAAAAAAACCTACGTAACAATCCTATTTAGAGCTGTAGCATAAGTTATTTAACTATTTTTGAAACCTTTGGAGATTTTTTCAAAGAGCATTAAATTTTAGAAGATTATGTAAAAGAATTTTAATGATGCTTAGAATCCTAAAAACATGTGGTTTCAACCTCTGATTCCCAGAGTTGACCTGATTTCTGTTCATCATGTTCTGAAAGATACAACCTATACCTCATTTTACACCTTATTAGATAATACTGTGAGAAAGATGTTTAAATCAACCATTCTTGTATTAAAAAAAAAATAGCAGAGTGATTGGTAACATAGCTTCATGTAAATGATTCCCTGTTAGACTTGAGAATTTTTTTAAAGGTTTTTGAGTTGTTTTTCATATGATCAGCTAATGAATTCAGCACAATTTTCCAGCCCCAACCTTTTTCTCCTGTTTAGCATTTTCCACTTTTTTACTCTGTGATGAACAAGCCCTCCCTGGTTAATTATGTATATATTTAGCTACTGCATGTGTTGGGCTTATTATTGTCATCTAATTAGATGTAACTTGAACTGCTTGCTTCTAGAAAAATCATTAAAAATTCTTTCCTAATGACCTAGAGATGACAAAATGTCTGTAAAGTGTGAAGAAGCAGACAAGCACAGGAACATCGCTCTTAAAGAGTGTTAATCCAGATGCTGCAATCATCTAATTAAACAATATTTTGCTGTCATTAACATTTTCACCAAGGAATTGCAGTTATAATTTCTTTGTCAGCTGTCTCTAGATCACTTTACCTTCAAAACTAAAGTGCCATATAAAAACATTAAATTGGATGGTTTAATTAAAAAGTTTTTTTTTAAATGAAGAAACATAATCCAGTGTTTCTGAGATCTCATTTACTGTGCTTCACTTTTATTGTTTGAGTAGATTAGCGTCACAGGCTTGCGATATTTAATATTCATCTTCTAAGATAAATCCTTATAGGCATAGTTAACTCTATAGAGAGAGAGAGAGGGGAAAGAAACCCCACCAATTATAGCACAAGTGTATTTACTAAATTTCAACTATAATAAAAAACAAAACAATTGGTAAATAAATATCTAGATGTGCCCAGAACCTAATATGTATTACTTTGAAAATATTTCAGTGTCTGGATAATTTAGTAAAGAATATTTTTTTCACTTCCCAAAAGTGTTCAGTAAAATAATTAAAGGAATAATGTTAATTCATTGTTGAAACTTATAAATGCAAAATCCCGGAATACCATTTAATCATTCTTTTTTACCATGTGACTTTGAATACATTGTGTTTTTAATTCAAACAAAAAAATATGTATTTGTGAATTGTTCATGTTGCAAGGTTTTTATGTGCAAATTTTTACTAAAAGCAGCTTTTAGTGTTATTACATTAATTTATAAAGTTTATTGTATTTATTAGAATTAAAATGGTTCTATAAGGCTCTAGTAGTTTCAAACTAAATAAATTATCCTAAGCATTTATTTTCAAAGAACCTTCCCAAGATTATTAAAAGAAAATTACAAAAAAAATAGAATAGATAAATAACTGTGAGCTTTGACTATTGGCATCAATCATTTTGTGTCTTATTCGGGTGTTTTTAAAATGATGCTTTCCTTTATTTGTATTTTTCCCCAAATTGGCATTATATCTTTTTGTTTTTTAAGAATTATTTTATTTAACTTTATTTATTATTGTTATTTTTGAGTTTTATCAGACAGGGAGGGTGTGGAAAGCATGAAAGCAAGCCACCAGGTCCAGGACATGAGCCGTGGTCACCTATGTAGGAGTCCAGCACCTACACACCACCTGCCGGCCTCTATATATTTTATTAGAAAATAATTTCTGTTAGAAGCTCATATCTTCACATATAGTCTCCATTTTTATGTTATTTGCATTTATACAATGTATTTAGATAGAGTTAATGTAAATTCATCTTTTTCGACTTTTTTTTATATAAGTTGTACAGACAGAATTTTATAAACAATTACAGTATCTAATTTTTATTTATCACTTGATTTATGTAAATAATATGTTATATATGTAGTATCCACATTATTCCATACAAAGACACATATCCCAGGAGACCTACTTTCTATTAAAATTTATGGATCTTTTAATTTTTTTTTTTAATTTGCCAGAGCAGTAGTTCTTGCCAGAGAGAGACAGCGATAGAGGGGAAGAGAGAGAGAGGAAAGTGAGAAAACACCCCTCCCCCATAGGGCACAGTCGTGGCCATGATACCTTCTCCTCCATTTCTCCCATCTTTCAGGATCTGGGACATGTGCACATGCCCAGTATGTCTCTCAAGCTGCCGGTCTTGGACCTAGCCAAGTGGCATACAGCCTCCTTAACCACCACAACCAAAATTTATAGATTTTTAAGCAGAACAGTTACCCAGAAAAATGGGATTGCACTAAACTTGCCTGTGGACCTGTGGAGTCTCAGAAATAGTTCTGTCTGGTCAACCTATTCTCTCTCCTTTTTTTTTTTTTTTTTTAGAGGTTTTTGCTATAGGGTGTGTGCGCCTGCCAGAAAGACAGAGAGAGACAGAAACTGAGAAATCACCCCCGGGGGAATGGTCACGCAGGAATCCCTTCTCCTCCATTCTCCTCTTGGGATCTTGGGCACGCACACACATGCGCCCGGCATGAGTTTAAGCCACCGGGTCTGGGATTCGAACCATGATCAGCTACATGGGAGTCCAATGACATAGCCATTATGCTAACTGCTGGTCCCCAACCTATCCTCTGTTAATGCATACATTTGTGTATGTTTGAACGCTGAGAGCAATCAGGTATCTTGGGTTAGTATACAGAGGGACTTCAAAAAGTTCATGGAAAAAAACAGAAGTAAAGTATAAATTAACTTGGTGCAAAAAAACAATTGAAATTTATGCATAATTTTTCACAGTACTTGTTTTCCATGAACTTATTGAAGAAATATCATACATGCACTATCAGTAGTAAATTCTAAATTTTAGACTTTTACAGCTTGTATTTTATGATGTACTGCTTTAGCAAAGGACTTACTAAGGCTCAAAATTCTTGTTTATTCTTGCAGTATTAGTCTTAGTATTATTCTTCACAATAGACTTATAAACAAACATAAAGCAGGTTTATTCTTTAATGGAACTATCTAGCTACAGGCATTTCCTTGTAGTTTAATGAATGCATTCACAATGCCATTCCATATATACTTTTAGGCCTTTGTGTAATCTTTTTTTTTTTTTAAAGAATATTCTTGTAATTTTCCTTTTTACGTTTTATATGTTTGTTCATCTTTTACACTTTGAGTCTTTTCATTCTATTTTTATCATTTCTGTATTTATTTCTTCATCAAACATTTATCTGGCAGATAGTACATGCCACGATCCAGAGGTCAAAAGATAAAAACAACCCAGCCCTTACATGGAGAAGTGTACAGACTAGTAAACAGAGAGGCCAGTATCAGGTATACTGTGATAGTGTTTGTGTGAGTGCCGTGGTAGGGGAGGAGGAGGGAACCAGAACCTAAGTATGTCCTCGTCCTAATACAGTGGGGTAAAGAGCGGAAGCTACATCCTGCTTTCTGTCAGTTACCTACTTATGTGATACATACACACATCGATTATGCATTTCAAACAATATGTAGTTCAGGTGTAAAATGCAAAGGTCCTTTTAATAAACAGATGAAAAAGGCACCTGATGAAATGTTTGCTAAATGAATTAATTTGGTTCAATGTTTATAATAGTAGATTTTGTTCTTATTCAGATTATGTTTTTTTTTTTCCATTTCACAATCCTATTTATTAATTATCACGAAAGTATGTATAGTTTAATGTCATTTTCCTCTTGTGATATTACACATTTTTACAAGAAATAGTCTTGTCCAACCAAAGTTTTCTTGAATAACAATTCTCTTCATTTCACCTGACTAGATGTTATCTTAGTACCAATTAATGAAGGTGAGTCAGTGCTGTGCCTCCCACCAAACGTTTTGTATTTCCACTGTGCTTCAATATCGTACTAGAAATATGTCAGTCCTTCTACCACAAAATAAACAGACAAACCAGCACTTCTCCACTAAACTGAAACAATATAATATATAAAGAAAATGCATTGGGCTTAAAAGAGTGAATAAATGTAGTTTCACATCTGCCTCTGTACTTTTCCACCCTGGCTTCAGAGTACTTCTACTTACTTGCTGATTCTCGGCATAAGCCTAATACAGTATTCTAAGTACTGGGAATATAATTTGTAGACATATATTCATTGTAATAGAATACCTTCACATAGTTGTAAGTATGCAGGTCAGCCAGGTAGCCTCCATCATGAGCACTCTCAGGGACTCTGGTCATCCAGGCTCTGCTTCCAAGGGTGCAGGATTCATCACAGTCAGCAGAAGAAAGATTGAGCATGGAGGCATGACACATGTGGAAGGTTCAGTGAGCCAAGCTCACAATGCCTTGGCTCAGCATTTTGTGCCTTAGAACTAAATCCATGGCCATAGCTACTTGACATGGAGAATGAGAAATGTGGTCCAGTCCAGGAAGAAGAAAAGCAATTATGGTAACCTACCAGCAGTTCCTATCACACTTTTACAAATAGTAATAATTCTATTTACTCTTTTTAAAGTTACTGAGTGAACTCACTTGAAATACATTGTTGTCAGAGTGTTTTTGATTAAATAAAGACATAGTTCAATAAGCATAGGAGATACTTTTCTTATGAAATGCAGTAGTTGCCTTATCTATTAAAAGAACAAAAACTATTTCATAAGAAATTCATGTACGCAAACTTTTGTTTCTATTTTTCTTTATTAGGGCGGACATATAATGACCTGAACCAATATCCTGTGTTTCCATGGGTGTTAACAAACTATGAATCAGAAGAATTGGACCTGACTCTTCCAGGAAACTTCAGGGATCTATCAAAGGTAATAAGAACTCTACAGCTAGGCTGCCTGGGTTCAAATTGTAGTTCAACCATTTAGATAAGATTTAATTTATCTTTGCTTCAGTATATAATGGGGAGATAGGGTTTCTGTAAGGAGCTGTACATTAACATGTATAAATAGCTTAGAACAGGGCCTGGCACCTCAGTGTTAACTAGTGCCATTTGTATAATGGTTGCATGATGTAGTGGATCAGTAATAAAAGTCATTTGCTTAATTTTGTCTTTCAAATAATGATGATAGATATAGTAGATCATCAAGAAAGTCATGATGTGTTTTTCAATTTTTTCTATGTGAAAATGTGTCATGACTTTCCTTATGATGCAATCAATATGTTATTGTATCTATATTGGAATCAGAATGTTTAAATGTTATGCAATTTTGACATGACGTTCCAAGGCTGAAGTGTAATCTTTGGGTGTAAAACAAAACCAAAGTAACTCATCAATCTGAAGATGAAATTTGTTAGAGAAATTAGTTTTATTAAATTAGTTCTCTAATAAAATTTTGTTTGTATCTGTTTTGTTGAACATTAAATAACCATTGCATATTAGACAATTTAAAACAAATATTCAATAAAGAGTTATAGATTCTCAAGTGGTGTTATGTAAAACTTCATAAGCTGGTTACTAATAAGGCTATATTATATTATTTATAAAGTAAGGAAGAAGAGGGGCCAGCAGGTGATGTGGTGGTAAAGGTACTGGATTCCCATATGGTCAACTGTGGTTCAAGTCTCAGATCTAGCAGCTTGAAAAATCATGCCAAGCACATATGCATGTGTGTCGAAAATCCCAAGAGAAGAATGGAGGAAAAGAGATTGTGGTGTGGCCATGCCCCCAGGAGTGACTTTTCACTTTTCCTCTCTCTGTCTCTCTCTCTGAGGAGTATATACATCCTATGACAAAAACCTAAAAAAAAACCCCAAAAAACAACAACAACAAAAAACAATGGAAGGAGGTCCTTTTTCTTTTAAATCAACTGGGATATCATGATTGAAGGAAACTTTTAGACCAAGGTTCCTAAGCTTCCTTTCTTTTCTCCATTTATTTATCAGGCGTTCAGTCAAACTTTTTTAAATAATTTTTTTAATGTTTACTTATTTATGTCTTCCATGAGCAAGAGAGAGAAAGATGGAAAGATAGAACCCCCAACAGGATTCCAGTTCCACAGTCCACCCTCAGCTTCAAGGAGCCCAGATCACAGGCCAGGCTTGCCTGTGGCTTATGTACATATGCTAGGAGGTCTCCAGACAAACCCGGAGATCACCATCACAGAGTGCCTTGACTTGTGGTTTTGTTTGTTTGTTTTTTACCCCCGTTCCACTGTCCAGCCCTCCCCTCCCCACTGGTCAACAGATACTTATCATGAACTCACTATAACCACTGCACTGGGTGGAAGGAATAAATCGGCAGACGTAGTCATTGCTCTGTTGGAGGGAGTTAAGTCCAGAGCAAAGGTGAGACTCGGAGAGTTGGCAGAAGTATGTGAGAGCTGCATTTATGACACAGTTTTAGCGGAGACTATACCAAAATGGAGTGTGCATGCTCAACTGTGATAGTCTTTAAACACCAGGCCAAAGAAAATATGGCACTCATTATTATTAATATGTATTATTGAAGGCCTCTGGTAAAATATTTGGTAGTAATCATAGATTTTTAGTGTATCCATGAAGATGAGATAAATTAAAGGAGGAAGTCACTGTTCCTAAAGTAACTGGAAGATATAAGCATTCTTTGAGTTTTTTAGGCTTAATCTGTTTCATGCTTATTTCCTTTGGCAGAGCTTTTAATTTTGTGACTCATATGTGGGTTTTTTTTATTTTATATAGTGTTAAATAAATAGTAGAAGTAAACAGATGGAACCTAAATAAATTAGGCAATGTAAACACATACAATGCTGTTACAGCATGGAGACATTCATGTTTTAAGTAGTTGAACCTATGAGCTCTTAAAAGATAGATAGCATTTTCTTCCAGTTCTACTATATTCCATGCTTTAGCAATTTGTTCTTTATATTCTGTCACACTAACATGATAGGAAAATGTTAGCAAATTAAAGCCTCTTGATGTGTTAATAAATTACTCTTGCATTGTTCCCATGCTTCATTGAATTTCTTAATAGGAACTTCTTACAAATGGGCTAGAAACATAAGACCATTCTGTATAAAAACCATTAATAAACAAGGCTTTAATGTATGAAAATATATCATATTATATGCCTAATGGAAAAATGACACTTGAAGTATAATAATATAATTGGAAGGGAAAATTACTGCAGTGCACTGTTAAAGTGTCTTGAAGTAAAGAAATGTCCACTAAGAAGCACATGAAATTATTGTAGTTATAATCAGTACCACAAATGAAGTTTCTAATGGAAAGTTTCTTACTCTTTGAAAACTCAAGGCCAGGAATATTCTAAAAGATCTCTAGCAACATAAACAGCTATTTCTAAATTTTTTCTAAAGAAAGATTGGGAATCCTGATCTGAAGAATAATTCTTAGAAGTGAGTAAATCTAGAATTTGTTTCAGTAAACATTTGGGGTTCCAAGTAATGTCTATACTTAAAAGAATTAAGAGGCCATGAAATATACAATCCTAAAAAACTGAGCTTTTTGTTTTCTTTATTTAATATCTCGTGAACTTCATGGAAATTCTCTGTTATATCAGTTAGGAAACTTTTGAATAAAAGTTTTAGGAAACATGGCTGAAATTGTGTTGAACAATATTTTACTTTTTTTTTTTTAACTGAAAAAAATAATCAAAGGACATTTGAGTTTTCAGCACAATTTGCTCCAGTGGTTCACATAATGCTACCAAGTGCCTTGATCTTTCCATTGCTCTGCTCTGCCCTCGGCCATTGTGGACACCATTCTCACTTCCTTCTGGATTACCTCCAGTAATTTCAAGAACTTTCCTTCAAGTAGCACAATAGCTGCAACAGTTCTAGACCTCATACCCTATCATCCAAAGGTAGCTCCTGTGGAAGACAATGAAACTTTTCTTTCTCAGAGGTCACAGTAAATGTCTCATGTCTCATTGGTGTTGCTTAAGAGAAATGGGGTATTCTACTTGGAGATGGGATAAGGCAATCATTTCCTGTAGTAGGAGGTAAAAATAAAGTCAGGATCAAAAAAAGGCACCTTTCTAAGAATAGTGGGGTAGCAGTTGACCAGAGAAAATTCGGATTTCTGTTCCCTGTTCCCGAAAGAATCAAGGCTAGTCAGCACCTAACTTTCTGTTATAAAGTGCCATATATGATGTATCTGAGGGTTTCTTTATGATTTCTGTAATGAAGAGAGGAGGAAAAAATGATAGATTTGTACACACATGGCTACTACATAAAAGTTTGGCAGGTGCCAAGGAGTCTAAGGTATAGACCAACACTCAAGGAATGTCCATTATTTAGGAGGAGAAGAAATTCAATCAGCAGAAAAGCGAATTGCTTATTAGATGTACATAAATTTAACACATGAACACTAAGTGGAGTCAAAGATAAATTTACCCTAAAACTAATGTAAGTTCTAGGGACCCTCAGTTGTCAAAGGACTCTACTGTACTTTGTCCCTAATATCATGTTCAGTTTTAGGTTCATTTCCTTAAAGATCCCCTCTCCTACCAATTGTTAAAATTTCACAAAACCTAGATATGCTCTCAGTGCAAAAGAAGGAGCTGTCTTTGAGTAAACATGGTTGGTATCATGGAGTAGGCACGTGAGAGGGATACACAAGGGTTTTAAACATCTAGGTACACCTGATGATACAGCTTCCCATATCTGATTCAGGTTCATAATTGAGCAATTACATGTACTTTCTGCGTATTTTTCCAAAACATTCTAACATTACTGACAAAACAATGGTTTTTCTATTTTCTTTTGGCATCTATTATTTAACAAAGGCATACTGGAAAAAATTATTTCCTATTTGTATAGTTTCAAACAAAGAAAACAAGTGAGAAACAGTACATGAAAGTAATGTAACTGCATGGCAACAACTTTCCCTATGGCTTTGGTGACAAGGTTGGCATGACAAAATGAGTTGGAGGTAGCTTTCATGCTCTTACCCAAGTCCACACTACAACCCGTTCTGTATTTGGTTCTCATTTACACAGGAAATTGAATCCTTCACATTTCTGTTCTCTCTCGTTTTAATTTTTTTGTGTATTTCTTTCATGAACAAGGAGACAGAGAGAGAAACAGCACCCCAGCAGGGTCTTAGCAAGTACAGTCCACTGAGCTAGGCTTCGGTCAGCTCTAGATCATGGGCAGGTGTGTGCCCAATATGCTCATGGAGGTCTCTGAATTTGAACCACAACCTTCCAATGAGAGATTGACTCACAGAACATCATGTTTTACCACTGTGCCATCATCTGGCCCACAGGAGGTTCTATTTTACTCACTGTGCTCTGGGGAAGATTACTCTTGGAGTTATAAATCTGTGTTTTCTTTATATCATTATTAAAATCAATAGAAAAAATTTAGATGTCATAAATGGAATATGAGAATTATGTAGGCTTTGCTCAAATGCAGCTTTGTCACATGTTATACAAACATAGGTATGTTTTCTGAGCGCTCTGAATTTCCGTTTCCTCTTCTTTAAACTGAGCACAGTAGAACTTTTATATAATGGTTTTTTTGTTTTGTTTTGTTTTGTTTTGGAGAGGTTTTTGCTATAGGGCACATGCACTCGCCAGACAGAGAGACAGAGAGACAGAAAGCGAGAAATCACCCCCCCAGGGGGAATGGCCATGCCACAATCCTTACTCCCCCGTTCGCCTCTCGGGATCTTGGGCACGCACACACACGCGCCCTGCGTGAGTTTAAGCCACCAGGTCCGGGACACAAACCGTGGTTGACTACGTGGGAGTCCAGCGACATAGCGATTACACTAACTGCTGGTCCCTATATAATGGGGTTTTTGAGAGTTAAACCCAGTAATATAGGTAAGGCACCTTAGTGTGGCGCCTGATTCACAAATGGCATTC